CTGGCATTGAAATTCCCAATTTGCCATTGGAATTCCCTCTCTGGCATTGGAATTCCCACTTTGGCATTGGAATTCTGTCCCTGGCATTGAAATTCCCACTCTGGCATTGAAATTCCCACTCTGGCATTGAAATTCCCAATTTGTCATTGGAATTCCCAATTTGCCACTGAAATTCCCACATCTGCTGCCTGCATTTGCTCAGGCCAAGGGTAGAATTGAACCAATTTAATTAATTTTAATTTAATTTAAGGGATTTATTGAATTCTTCTGGTTGCTCCTTTTTAAATTCACAATCTTGGTTTTCCAGAGGTGCTGGATTTGCAGGAGCTGTTCTTCCAGGGGTTCCCAGCAGGATTTGGGGAAAAAAGTCTTGGAATGCTCAGCGAGGGGAATGAGGGAGTGCTGAATGGGGCTTGGAGAAGAAGGAGGAATGAAGAAGGGATGGAATTTCCTAAAAAATTTCATGGGAAAGGCTCTCACAGCTGCTTTTTTCCCATTTTTTCCAGACTCCCATCCTGCTGACTCCCAGCCCTCTGCTCTCCAGCATCCACTTCTGGAGCACCCTGAGCCCCGTGGCTCCTCTCAGCCCCGCCAGGTTGCAAGGTGCCAACACCCTCTTCCAGGTGAGTCCCAAATTTCTTCCTCCATTCCTTCCTTCAATCCCATTCCCAGCAAACCCATAGGATATTATCCCAAATATTTGCTGTAAGAATCAAATAGGAATCTTTGTTTTTAAGAGCTTTATTTTGGTGTTTGCCCAGTTTTATTTAAGGATATTCTAAATCTTGGTGTCCCAGGAATGTTTTAAATTATCCACAGCACGGGCTRCTGTTAGAAAGAGAATATTTTTCTTTTTTAGGTCTGTTCTTCTTGAAAAGCTTTCCTCCCTGTAGCTTTTTTTGGTTGGGATTTTCCCGAATTTTGAATTTTTTCCGCTCTGTTGGTCTTTCTAATGCTTGCTGCTGAAAGATGTTAATTAATCTCGCAGCTAACGAGGAGGAGGAATGTGTGTTTGATCTCTGTGATGATGTGTGGCGCAGTTCTTGATGATTTTTATGGAAGAAATCCATAAAATTCCCCCCTGGGAGGGTGGGGAGCCCTGGCACAGGRTTCTCAGAGAAGCTCCATCCCTGGAATTGCCCAAGGCCMGGTTTTTTTTCACTATAAAAGAAAAAAATCCCCAATATTTTTTAAAAATCCCCTCCTTTAGCAATTTTCATGTTTTTCCCTCACCTTCCACTCTGGCATTGAAATTCCCACTCTGGCACTGGAAATTCCCACATCTGCTGCCTGAATTTGCTCRAGCAAAGGGTAGAATTGAACCAATTTAATTAATTTTTATTTGATTTAATTTAATTCCAAGGATTTWATTAAATCTTCTGGGTTGGGATCTGTCATCTCCATGGAGATGGAGGAAGTTCCTCATCTGTACCACGAGGATGGGGAATAAACAAGGGCTGAAATGGCATTGGACATTTTGCTGTGGAAAGAGCTGATAATTAACTGAGGGACAATTAAAATTATTTTTTTCTCCCCCAACCTGAATTAAAATCACATTTTAWTGAGGACAGGGGGCAGTGCTGAGTTCAGGACTCACCGTGACACTGCTTAGCATTAAAAAATTAAATTAAAAATGAGAAGCCAAGAGGATTCTTTGAGGAATTGAGAGTTTTTGCTTTGTTTTGTTGTTGAGTTGGGGTTTTTTTTTCACCCTTTTTTGCACAAATATGAGAGAAACAGCGAATTAAAGTGGTTTTTTTGCCTGATAATTGTTTTTTTGTCTCAGTTTCCATCAGTTCTCAACAGCCACGGCCCCTTTACCCTGTCTGGACTGGACGGCCCCTCCACCCCCGGCCCCTTCTCCCCGGATCTGCAGAAGACATAGCACACGGAATTCCTGAAAAAGGACACAAAARTGGCAAAACGAGGCAAGGATGGGACAACATTTCTGCTGAACCACCTTTTCTAAAGCAGAATCTCTCTGATACCACAGAGATTCTCAACCGTCGCAGTCGTTGCCGTTCCCGAATCAAAAAAATGCCTTTTTTTTGCAAAAATTCCCCCATTTTTTTGAAAGAACCCAGGTCGGGAATGTATATGCAAACGCCTTAATAGGAGCTGCAGCTCCGGTCTCTTCTCTTCCCACCTTGGTTTGGAAGATTTTCCCTACGCCCAAAAGGAATTTTAAGGAGTTTTAAGGAATTTTAAGGAGTTTTAAGGAATTTTAAGGAATTTTTGGGTGGCGTTGCAGCAGCTGAGTCCGCGGCGAGCGGTGACAGAGGAAGCTTTTCTCTGTCTGTGACTCTTAGAAAAAAAAAAACCAAACAAAACCAAACCAAACCCTCTTCTGCTTCCTGTGCTGGGCCAGGAGAAGCCTGAATCCTGATGGAAGCTGGCATTCCAGGAAATGCTCGGGAATGGGAACAGGAATAGGAATGGGAATGGGGTTTGTGCTCTCAGCTCTGCCCCAAGGAACTTGACAAAAGCAGCCGGGGCTTTTTCTGCTGGCCTTGTCTTTTATTTTTTTGTGCAGGGAGAAATTTTATTCAAGGATTTATTCCGTGCTCGTGTCCGGGACGATTTTGGAGCGGAGAAGAGGTGGGGCTGGATTTGGGATTTTGGATATTTCCCTGCCCTCCTTCCCTCCCTGTGAAGGGTGGGATGAGCTCTTTTCGCTCCTCACCGAGTTTCAATGCTGGAGTCCAAACATTTCTTGTGCCAGGGACTTATCCCAGAGCCTGGGAGCTCCCTGCTGGATGAGCAGGATTGGGAGGATTTTTCTTGGGGTTTTGGSGGGAGGTTGCTGCCTGACCCGGAATTGCAGAACCCACAGGGTGAGAGCAGCAACATTAACATTGCTCCTCTCTCCCCACAGCTCTGGAAAAGCTGGAAAAGCATTYCTGCTTTTCCCCACRTGGAGAAGCTTCTCTTTTGCCAGCTTTATCCCAAATTTTGGCMTGGAGCTGTTGCTTATTTTTATTTTTGAAAGGGGCACTGACCCCAAATCAGGCTGAGGGGTCCCACAGGGCATGGAAAACTGCTCTGAACCTTTCTGGAATAAATGCAGGATCGCTTTCCAGAGCCATTGGAGACCAGATGGAATTTGCAGGTGGATTTTTACACCTCAGGAGGCCTTTTTTAAAGAAAACTTGAGGGGTTAAAGGAGCGAGAGCTTCTCCTTGCTCTGGCTGTGGTGGTCTCTGGGTTTATGGGTATCTGACGTCAGGCAGCAACTTCTGGGTCGGAATTGGGGAATGTCAGAGCATCTCCTCCATGAAATAGTCCCAGAAAACAGCCGGAGACATCTCTTTCCTTCAGCATCCTCGGAGCTGCCGCCAGCAGAGGAAGATTTGCACCTCTCCGGCGCGAGGAGCTGACAGAGTTTGCTGTAAATACCGCRATTTTCCACGGACCAGTGGCGAATTTGAGCTTTTCCAGAGTTKTTTKKTTTTTTTTCCCCTTTCGCCACTTTYGCAGGCTTGGAATTCCCTCTAAAACCACAACTCCCGAGACTTTTCTTTCCCTGCGGTGACGTTATTTTTCCTGTACCCTGACACTGAGTACAGAAAAACCACTTTTGTGCGTGTTCCTGACGTGACACCTGGGCCAGGTGGGTGGAACAGAGTCGCTTTTTTGTTTTTTGGGGCATTGTTCACCTGCCCAGGGTGGGGAGGAGGGAGAAAAAAAAAAAATTATTCCTTTTTCAGGTGGAGAAGCAGGGAGTGAGCTCACGGAGTGACCTGTCTTCCTGTCGGGTCCTGTCAGAGGCAAAAAAACGCTTCACATTTAGACATCAGCAGCTGCAGGAGGAAATTCCTGCGCCAGCAGCTCTTAAAATGTGCAATATTGACCTTTTTTTTCTTTTTTAAATTTTATTTTGATTTTTTTTAATGCAGAAACGAAGCTGCAGATGATCGTTAAGAGCAGGCATCTGGAATTTTTTTTTTTTATTTGCATGTTTGGAACCTGCTCTGGGCAATTTCTATGCTATGTGTGAATAGCAGCACTTTGGTTTGGGTTTAAGTTTTAGGTTGGCTCGTTTTCCGCCCGACTTTGCAAAGAGAGAGAGCGGCGTTTTGCGGGCCTGGGATTGGAATTGAAAATTCACCAATGAGCACTAAAAACTTGCAATCTGATTGCTTCCCTTCCCCCGTGGAGAAAAGCCAGGTTTAGCATTGAAAAATGTGTGCACTTAAATTCTTCGTGGACTTTGGTGGCTTTGGGCAGAGGGTCAGACCCCAAAAATGCCATTTTTTCTTCCTTTTGGAGAAATTTCCCAGGATTTTGCTGCCTCAGCTGGATGAGATCCCAGTTTTCCTGTGGGAATGCTGAGTTTCCTGTGGAATTGCATGGGATGGTTTCCATCAGGTAAAAAACCCAGCAGGCAGAGCGGGAATGGGATTGCTTCAATTCCATAAGGAAAAAATCGTCAAAAAAAAAAAAAATCAGGAGAAAACCTCGTGATGCAGCTGGGAAAACTTCTGGAAAAGGGAGAGTAGGATTTTTAGGGCACTCAAGGGAATATTTCCTTGTCCTCGTGCTGCCTTTTCATCCCTGTTCACTGATAGGTGACTGCCAGCTGTTTTTGGGTCACATTTTGGGGTGTCCCAGACCTGTCCTCGTTGGGGGATGCAATTCCTGTGCCCTGCTTGGGGCACYTTCAAGCTCTGCTTTGCAATAGGTCAGGAAGGGATGGAATTCCCGGAGTTGGACGATTCCTTGTTTTCCTGGAGCACCCCAAGGTTTCCGTGTGCTCTTTGGAGTGTGGTGGGAGAGCAGAAAGACTTTGATTGGGATGATTTTTCCCTCTGATGCATTCTCAAACCTCAGCCTCTCCCAAACAGATCATTTTGGGGTTAAAATATTCATTCTGAGGGCAGATTTCCATCTCCAGCCTCCCCCAGCCCCGGGAGCTGCATTTCTGTGGGATTCCCTGGGCAGGGGTGGCAGCAAAGGGCTCTGAGCCCCTCCTGGAGCTTTTCCTGAAGCCCCTGCAGCCCTCACCCTCCCTTCTCCCCCGTACTTTATCCATTTATCTTCTTTTTCTCCCATTTTATGGCATTTTTGGGTGTGCTCTGTGATTTTCTTCCATTWTTTTGGGCAGATTTGTCTTTTCCTTGAGCCCACATCAGACCCTGCAKCTCTSACCCTCCCTTCTCTCCCGTTATTTATCCATTTATCTTTCAGATCCCTTTATTTTCTCCTGTTTTATGGCATTTTTGGGTGTGCTCTGGGTTTTCTTCCATTTTTTGGGGCAGATTTGTTTACGAGGCATCTCAGTGTCGTATCAAGAGGCTCTCTTGGTATTGGCAGCTCTGGAAATCAACCTCAGCAGCGCGTCAGGGAATGTTGTTAGGATCCACAGGTATTTAAAAACTCAAGATTTCAGTTTTGGGGTGACAGTTCGGGTCTGTTCCCTTCCTCAGTTCTGTGTAAGGAGTAGAATTTTGATCTGGAAGAGTAGAAATGGGAAAAAAAAGAGACTTTTTTGCCTCTTCATTATGTTTTTTATTTTTGTCTTAAAAATCACCGAGTGGGGTGTTGAAGCAGCCTCTGAGGGGTTCCCACTTGGCAGAAGAGCCCAAAATCTGTGAGGATTCACTCAGGAGCTCTCCAGATGTTGGATGGGACTGTYCTGCATAACCAGGGGTGTTTGTGGCCTGATTTGGAGTTAATTAGGCAGCAATTAGTGGCTGATGAGTGTGAGCAGATCAGTGAATGAGGCAGGGGAGTGGGACAGGCTGGAGCTGATGGAATCACGGCTGGAAATGCAGGGATCACAGCTGGATGTGCAGAATCACAGCTGGATGTGCTGGAATCAGAGATGGATCTGCAGAATCAGAACTGGATCTGATGGAATCACAGCTGGAAGTGGTGGAATCATGGCTGGAAATGCAGGGATCACCGCTGGATATGGTGGAATCACAGCTGGATTTGTGGGAATCAGCTGGATCTGATGGAATTGCAGCTGGATGTGGTGGAATCACAGCTGGATCTGCAGGAGTCGGAGATGGATCTGATGGAATCACAGCTGGAACTGCAGGAATCACGGCTGGAAATGCAGGGATCACAGCTGGATATGGTGGAATCACAGCTGGATGTGCAGAATCACAGCTGGAGGTGGTGAAATCAGAGATGGTTCTGCTGAATCACAGCTCGAACTGGTGGAATCACAGCTGGATGTGGAATCACAGCGGGAGCTGCTGCAATCACAGCTGGAAATGCAAGAATCATGGCTGGAACTGCAGGAATCACAGCTGGATCTGCAGAATCACAGCTGGAGGTGGTGGAATCACAGCTGGATGTGGAATCACAGCTGGAGCTGCGGGAATCATGTCTGGAGGTGGTGGGTTAACATCTGGAGCTGCAGAATCACAGCTGGAGCTGATGGAATCACAGCTGGGTGTGCCACAATCACAGCTGGAGCTGCCAGAATCACAGCTGGAACTGTGGGAATCACATCTGGATCTGGAGGGATCAGCTGGATGTGGTGGAATCATAGATGGATATGCTGGGATCACAGCTGGAGCGGGGGGATCACAGCTAGATTTGTGGGAATCAGCTGGATCTGGTGGAATCACAACTGGAACTGGTGGAATCACAGCTGGATCTGCAGAATTGCAGCTGGATGTGGATAGATCAGAGATGGATCTGCTGAATCTCAGCTGGATCTGCGGGAACCACAGCTGGAAGTGCAGGAATCACATCTGGAAATGCAGGGATCACAGCTGGATCTGCGGGAATCGCAGCTGGATGTGGAATCACAGCTGGATGTGGAATCACAGCTGGAGCTGTGGAAATCACAGCTGGGTGTGCCACAATCACAGCTGGAGCTGCCAGAATCACAGCTGGAACTGTGGGAATCACATCTGGACCTGCAGGGATCAGCTGGATGTGGTGGAATAATAGATGGATATTCTGGGATCACAGCTGGAGCTGTGGGGATCACAGCTGGAACTGCAGGAATCACAGCTGGATGTGGAGAGATCAGAGATGGATCTACTGAATCACAGCTGGATTTGGTGGAATCACAGCTGGATGTGGAATCACAGCTGGAGTTGTGGAAATCAGCTCAATGCAGTGGAATCACAGCTGGATCTGCCAGAATCACAGCTGGATTTGTGGGAATCAGCTGGAGCTGCAGGAATCATAGCTGGATTTTCCAGAATCACAGC